CACACCTTTAACCCCAGCACTTGGGAGGAGGAAACAGGAAGTGATATGGCTGGACAGAGAGAGGAAGTGGTAAGGTGGGGTGGAGACAGGAGCTTGGCCTTTACAGGCTGAGGATTCCATAGAGGTAGGTAGAGGTAAGAAGTCTCTCTAGTGGCTGGCTCCTTTACTGATCTTTCAGCATTTACCCAATATCTGGCTCTGGGTTTTTATTATTATGACCAATTAGGATTTGTGCAACAGCTTCCTGTATCTTCAAGATTCATTTTTATCACTTCAATGGCTCCGTAAATCACCCCCTTTTCCCCGATGATATACCATGGATTATGTAACATTATTTAATGTCAGCTATTAGTATTGTTTTTGACTTTTCCCTCCATTTTCACAAGTAATGTTGCTATAAACATCTTGGTATAGATAGTTTTCCTTTTCCAGTATTTCAATCTTTTCCTTAGAGTAAAGTTTTCAAAATTAGATTATGTAGCCAAAATATGTGCCCTGCTTCTTCTTTTTCTTTTCAAACAAACCAACCTTTTTACTACTGAAATTTTCCAATACATAAAAATAGACTAACATAGCAAACTCAGCGTGCCTATCCTCCTATCTTCAAAATTACCAATTCATTTATGTTGTGGTCTTTGCACCACTTGGACTTGGGTTTTGTGCAGGGTGATAAATGTGGATCTTTTTGCATTCTTCTACATGCAAACGTCTAGTTTGACCAGCACCATTTGTTAAAGATACTTTCTTTTTTTCCAGTGTGTATTTCTGACTTCTTTATAAAAAATCAGGTGTTCATAGTTATGGATTTATGTCTGGGTCTTTGATCAATCCCATGGATCTACATGTCTGTTTTTATGTTAATACCATGGTGTTTTCTTATTATAGCTCTGTAGTAAAGCTTGAAATCAGGGATGGTAATACTTTTGGAAGTTCTTATATTGTTCAGGATTGTTCTAACTTTCCTGTTTTTTGTGTTTTGGTTTTTTTTTCCAAATGAAATTAAGCATTGTCCTTTCAAGGTCTTTAAGGAATCATGTTGGAATTTTGATGAACACCTACCCAGCCACAAAACCTATGACCCATAACCTGTCCTGTCTGCAAGATGTGCTGGGGCAATGGTGGCTTGGGAGTGGCCAACCAAGGACTGGTCTAACTTGAGGCTCATCCCAGAGGGAACCCAGGCCTGACACTGCCTGGATGTCAGTAATCTGGAAAACTGGATGTCTCGGAGATCTAGGGTAGAGCCAAACAGGACGAAAGAAAAGAAAAAGTCAATGAAATGATTCCTAACAACATTTTGCTATACTCATAGGATCAGTGCCCAAGTTTCTTCCAGCAGCTGATGGGAGCAGATACAGTCAAACATTAGGTGGAGCTTGGGGAACCCTGCAGAAGGAAGGGAGATTGTAGGAGCCAGAGGAGTCAAGGACACCAGGAGAACATGGCTCATGGAATCAACCAAGTAGGGTTTACAGAGGCTCACAGAAAACTGAAGCGGCAGTCATGGAGCCTGCGTGGGTCTGCACTAGGACCTTGCGTACATGCTATGATTGTTTAGCTTAGAGATTTTGTTGGACTCCTAACAATGGGAGTGGGGGGTGTCTCTGACATTTTTCCCCACTCCTGGGACCTTTTCACCTCATGGAGCCTCTCGTGGCTCCTCATGCAGATGGCATGTGTATCTTTTGGTGACACCACTCTACCTTGCTTCCACCTCTCTCCTGGGATGCTCTTTTGTAGCCCCATCTCCAGGCTTCTCCTGGACCATCACACATGCACTGGATTCTCTGAGTCTGGATCTCCACACTCTCTTCTGTGCTTCTGTGACTTCCCTGGGGACATTTTTCGGTAATTTTCTGCCCATCATTATGCCAATGGTCTCACATCTACACTTACAACGTCACTGCTCATTTATATTCTAAAGACACACACTGTCACACAGCATATCTTCGCCAAAATGTCTACCAGCCTCTCAAATGCCTTTGTTCATAGCAGAGCTTACCGCCACCACCACTGATCCTGAAATCCTTTACATCTTCTTTAAAGATCTTATACTTGTGATTCTTGTCACACCTTTTGTCACACCTCATAGCTCAAGCTACTGTCAATTCTTGTCTGGTTTGTTTCAATAGTCTTTCCACTCTGACTCCCAGGCACACACCCTCTTTCTGCCTTCCCATTTACTTCCCATCCATTCTCCCACACGTTTCCTATAGCACACATCTGTTTACAGTACCCTCCTGTTGAAAGTGTGGCCGTGGCTCTTCAGTACCGGCAGCAGCCCTCCATGAATCTGTCTACCTCTGGTTTTGTGTCTTCCTCTCACTAGAAAGCACCTAAGAGAAAATTTGCAATATCTGTCTTTTTGGGTCTGGGTTCCCTCATTGGGGATGATTGCTTCTAGACACTCTTCTCTGAAGAGCAGTCATGTACACAGCTATGGAAGAGGAGCCACAGAGGAAAACAGTTTGGAACTGAGCCTGAGTTGGGAGTTCCAGTTTTGCTCCTTGCTAAGCAGATGACTTCGGACAAATTCTGTAACTCTTTGGCCTCAATTTCTTTAGTAGACCATAAAAAGCTTCTCAAGTACCCATCCCGTGCTAGTGTGAAACCAGGCTTTGTATAGATGGGAGCATTATGGCTTCATAAAATGGCTGTTTCAGTGGTTTGTTTATGTAGCCATGGCAGTGAATGCCTCAACACAGATGGCACTTGGTACACAAAGTTTATGATTTTTTTAAAGGACTGGACATAACCATTTATTTGAATTTTACATCAAGTTTATCAGTTCTCACGCTATTAGAAGCATTAAAGTGAAGACCATCAGAATACATGAAAATGTGCTGGCAAGGCCTGAAAATACCTGCATTTAGTATTTTGAAGAATTTAAACTCCATTTGGCTGGTAGTTGAGAAAATAAAAGATGTAAATAAGTATGAGGGCCCATAAAATTTACTATCTTTTAAGTGCATTAATGTAGTCTGTTACAATGAGAAACGTGGAGCCTGAGAGAAAGGACACACTGGTCTGAGGAGCCCTGCCACATTTGGTCCTTGTTGAAACACTTCCTTTGGGCAGGACACTGGCACCACCGCTGTTGAACACTCTAGCAAATCCTTGTCATGATTTATTGGCTATTGTCATTTTGTTGACTTTGTTTGGCATTAGTCATTTTTTCCTATCTCCTATAGAGAAAATGGTGCACTCTTTTAGCCACATTTTGACCCTCCCCCAAAACTTAAGGCCAGCGAGTTTTCCAATATCAGTAAATTGTTAATTACCTTCAAATGTCTCATTCAGAGTTGGTGCTGGTTTCCTTACATGAAAAGTCAATGCATAACTTGAATGATCATTGTTGAGAAGTGATACTAGTGACTGAAATCCCATGACTGTCCTTCAAAAGCGACTTGATAAATCTGCCTCTGTCCTCTCCCAACACACACACACACACAAACACACACACACACACACACACACACACACACACACACACACACGTCAGATTATTAATGAGTCACTAACATGTCCCATCTAACTCCTTCGCTTGCATTTCATTTGTATAGGTAGGGCTTCATTGTACAGTTTTTAAAAGTTGCTACTAACTTTTAAATTCATTGCACAGCACAGATCTAAAACTACCAGTTTGTCTTTCTTAAGCCACATGTTAAAATGTTGTATTAATTCTTATCACAACAGTGCTGCTACACAATACAGAAACACTTTTTAAACTGCTCTGATAATGAAGGCGATAGCAAGAATACAAAACTCTTAACCTGGCAATTCATCACCCCAAAACCAATTTTCCCAGATGATACATTGCCAAGCTTCATGCTGCTGCATACGCATAAAGAAGAGGTTGCATATTGTTCTGGAATTACAGTCTAGTATTACTAAACAATAAGAAGACAGATGTACAAACAGCCTTTGGATTGAGTATAATTATTTAAATTATTTGATATCCTCAGATAGCTTCTCTCAAAGCTTATCTATTTTTTTTTTAAAGAAGTTCTGAGGCTTCTTTCTCTCCTCAGACTCTTCTTATCAAAGATTGGTTTGAATGAATCCCAGTTTGGGCCTCTATAGTTCACTGGGTGCTGGTGTTCCAAGTTGCAAACCAACCTCCTTAAAATCCTCACATCTGCATTTTCCTGAGGTGGTGCAGAAGGCAGGCTGGGAGAGTAGCTGCAATTGTGCGGGGGTGGGGGGTTGGGGGGGGTGGGAGTGTGTGTGTGAGAGCATCCAGATCCCTCCCACAGTGCTTACAGCGAGAGGCAGGGTGCTTGTCAGGTCTTCCTGAGTAATGACTGGGCTTTCATACATAGGATTAAGTAATGCTCATCAATGAAATAAATCTAGGCTTGATGTTTCTTCATCCCCCAAACATAAAAGCTGCAAGCAGCCACAGCCGTTTGGAAATGGAATGGCCCTCTGTGACCTCAGAATGGAATTTAAGAGTTTTCTGCTGCGGAGTCATTCTCATTCCCATGGAAACAGTCGCTGGGAGTGATTCCGCTGTCATTACTGTCAAGCACTGACCCTGGATCTGATGAACTGGTGCTGCCCAAGTCCTCGGACGTCCGAGAGGAGTGAGCATCAGCCTTGTGGAATGCACTCACAGAATTGTCCTCTGACGTGGGCAAAGTCCCAAGACACTCTCAGGAAATCTGTGTGTGTGTGTGTGTGTGCATACAAAATACATATACATGTATATGTATGTTTATACATATGTGTATGTGTATATATAATTAGAAAATGTATTTATAATAAGAAAACATTAAGATATATATCTTAAGGTATACAAAGATATATATCTTAATGGTTTTCTAATTATAAAATTATGTTGAATAGAAAACAACTGAAGGCTGAACAGGAACTACTTTGCTTGTTTGTTTTCATGAGATCGTTTTTTCATGTGTAATCAAGGCTGGCCTGGAACTTGTGACCCTCCTGCATCAGCATCCCCAGTGCTGGGACTGTAGGCTAGCACCATCACATCCAGCTTCTTTTTAAAGTTTTTATTACAGAAAGACTAAAATAGGAAAAAAATGGGAGTGTGATGTAATTGGACCAAGTATCCACTGCCCCAATGTAATACTTATTAATTCATAGTCATTGGTATTTTAGCTTTACTTCCAACACCTGCTGGATGATTTTAAAGCAAATTTCAGATACCATATAATTTAATCCACAGATATAGTACTTACTATTAAACTAGAAGAGTACTTTGAAATCTAGTCATGAAATGCCTTTGTTGGTACTTTTCTTTCCAAAGTTTTATCTAAAGCCAACTGTGGCGTAGTTAACTGTGGTCTGACAAATGGCACAGATCTGCTGCCTCTTTTTGCAATGAAAGCATTGATGTTAGGTCTGGTGCTTTCTGCCATTGAACTATTCATTGTCCTTCCACAAATTTTATCCACTGATTTGAAACCTTAGCTTAAGCTCTACGGTTTCAATAGTGCTGGCCATCATTTTAGATTGCTGTGTAGTTTCAAAGACTAAAACACTGTTGCAAAATTTAAATATTTTTTAATAATTGATTTTTTTCTTGTCATAATCCAGGCAGGGTCCTGAGTAGTACTTGACTGGTAATTTCTCTTTTATTTCTATAATTTTGTTTTGAGTGGAAGAGCTTAATAATTCTACACGTGCATCAGAATATCATTTATTGAATTAAAATCAACATGGGCATTCTCCATATATTTTCTATACATTGTAGAAGAAAGTGTTAAAAGAGGCTTTTGAGCAGTTACTTGTGTAAGGAATGTGGTCAGCATCAGTTCCCTTAGACCTGGAGTTAAAGGTGTGTGTGAGTCATCTGATGTGGTTCTGGGAACTGAATTCAGATTCTCTGCAAGAACATTAAATGTTTTTAAGTGCTGGCCCATCTTTCCAGCCCGCCAATGTTTTCTATTCCTAAATCTTATGATGCCACAGTGTAGTGTTTTCATTAAAGGAGGGTATCTTATTTTCTACAACTTTATTTGAAGGGTTTTTATTGGGAGATGAGAGAAGGATTGGTGGATAAAACATTTGCCCCACAAGAGTCAAGATCCCAAGAATCCATGTTAAAGCTGGACAGGTGTGGCACCTTACCTGTAATCCCAGAATTCAGAAAGCAGAGAAAGGAAGTATCTGGGGCAAGTTGGTTAACTATACTAGCCAGAACTGTTGAACTCTGGGTTAGTGGGAGACCCCGCCTCAATAGAAAAAAAATGGAGAATCATCAAGGAAGATACCTGTTGTCAACTCTTAGTCTCTACATACACAAGCACACATATGTGTAGGTACCTCTGCACACAAACCTGTGTGCCCATACATATAGACACACACATAATAGACAACTTTTTACTTATATAATAATAAGTGAGATTGGTTTGCCATTTTGTGATACTGTTAAGTTTTAACATCAGCACTATGACGTTTCCCTTTGGGCATCTTGATTGGGCTTGTTATTGTTACTTAGGAGTTATTTCAGGAAATTTCCACGTGCTCAGCAACTAGCATAGTGCTCCTGGAACAGGTTACCTATGTATTCAAGTCTATGGTGTCATGACGGTGATATTGTCTAGGGTTTTTGTAATGAATTCCCTTTTCTGCTGATTTAAAGAACAAATAGTCAGGAAAAACAAGGTCTAAGTACCAGGTCAGATTTTTACTGTTGAAACACACACACACACACACACACACACACACACACACACACACACACACCCCAACATATACAAAGAGGCAGACTCCCCAAGAAGGAAAGAGGACCCAGAGTTGGTGTCTGAGATTGCTGAGAGAATGGGAGATGTTGTCTTTGGCAATGGGATGAGTTCCCTTTCTCTCACAGAACTGGCTGGTTTGGGTTATTGCAAGGGATTGGATTCTAATCCAGATAAAGAAGGGAAGCTGGTTGGTTTCCAACACGGGAGCCACACACAATCCTCTTGGGCAACTTCAAAGTCCCACAAAACAGTTTCCTATAGGAGGAAAATATCTACCAAGACTTTGTCTTCGAGAAGAACAGGAAGTCAGTCATATTAAATGCTTAAGTGAAAAGGATATTAATCTACCAAGAGCCTCTTTCCCTTGCCTGCCGCAGGGGATGTGTCTAACTCCTAGTCTACCATTTTAGTATTGGACAAATTGATACAAACATTGTTTGAGCCTAGAGCAGAGGGTGGAGAGGACTCAACCTCTGGGGAAGGGAGGTAGCTGGGTGGTGGGAGGAAGTTTGAGAGAGAAATTGCATAGACAAGTGTCCGACGAATGGATCAGTCAAGCTTCGGGGGATAGAGTGGATGGGGAGGATGATGGATGCGGAACAGCTGCCCACACAAAACTGGACAAAGAAGACGACATCAGGGAGTCAGCACTTTGAGTGGATGCTGATGGCGTTAGGGTGAAATGGTGGACCTAAGCGCTGGGCGCAGCACGTTCTCAGGACACGGGGAACTGGTGCCAAGCTGCTGCCCTCTTCACTAAGATGGTGAGTATTGAGAAAGGAGCACAAACTTAATTTTGGACATGTTCTGTTAGCCCAATCTGCACATGTTGATCAAGTACTAGTCAAGAAAACAGAAATCACACAGGTTAGATGGACAGAGTTGAATTGAAATTAAGTAAGTATGGACATTTTATGACTGAAAGGAAAAACAATGAAGACAAGCACAGTCCGTGGCAGCAGAGCGTAGGGGCTACAGACAGATTCTGAAGCATTGGTTGGCTCTTTGGAATCCAGAGGTGGAAAAGGGGCCCCATGGGCTGGGAGTCTGACCTCCAGGCCTCGGGAATCCAGGCTACTGCAGGAATCCTGGCGGGGATGGGGGACGGGGGCGGAGAAGGGAATGGAGATGTCTTTGCCAGTGTATGAAAGAGCTGGAAACAGAAAGCAGCTGCTGCAGGCACCGTGAGGGCAGGAACTACCGGCTCTCACAGCGGATGCTGACCTTTAGGATCTGTCCAGGCAAAGCTAAGGGCAAGTAGTTGGAAAGGGAAGAATGTGCATAGCTGAGTCCAGGTCTCTGCATCACAACGAGAAGTGGAGAAGTGGCTAGGAAGCCAGAGAAGGGTTTGTAAGTTTAAGTGCATCAAGTTAGAAGGCCAGCTGTGGACAGCTGGATTTTGGAATTTGTAGTCAAGAGGAACTGTCTTAATTAGAGACATAAATATCGATACAGTTAATGTTCTGATAGAACATAATGTAAGCCACCCAAGTAATCATATATGAAAGAAACTGGGAAATTATTTAAAATGTTATATTTAATAAGTATGTACCCAAATGGCAAAATTTTAACACAACTGGCATAAAAAAAGCATATGATGTACACTTATATAACTATATTTTTTAAACAAGATCCACTACTATGTAGCTGAGACTGACCTGGAATTCATTGCATAGCCCAGGCTGGCTTTGAACTTGTGACCTTACTGCTTTAGTCCGAGTGCTGAGATTACAGGGGTAATCTGTACAGGGCTACAGTGCCTGGCATCTCTTCTCTCTCTCTCCGCCCCTTAACAATACATTTTTCCTTTTTTTTTTACACTTGGTCTGTCCTTGCTTTTTGTTGCTATGATTAATGCTAAACAAAATCTACTGAATCAAAAAGGATTTATTTAGCTTATAGGTTACAGTCCATTATTGAGGGAAGCCAAGGCAGAAGCTCAAGGTAGGAACTTGGAGCAGAAACTGAACCAGACAGCCTAGGGGAATGCTTTGGTGATACTTTGTGCTCTAACAAATAAAGCTTGCCTGGAGATCAGAGTGCGGAGCCAGCCACTAGAGGCCAGGCAGTAGTGATACACACCTTTAACCCCAGCACTTGGGATCTCATGCCTTTAATCCCAGCACTTGGGAGGAGGAAAAAGGAAGTGATTTGGCTGGGTGGAGAGAGGAAGTGATAAGGCAGGGTGGAGACAGGAGCTTGGCCTTTTCTTTCTGAGGATTCTTAGAGGCAAGAAGTCTTTCTAGGGGCTGGCTGTGGTGATATTATGTTCCCCAAAATATTGTGTACCCTAATAAACTTATCTGGGGTCAGAGAACAGAAGAGCCACTAGATACAGAGGCCAGAAAATGGTGACACACATACCTTTAATCCTAGCATTCCTAAGGCAGAGATCCATCCCGATCTCTGTGAGTTCAAAGCCACACTGGAAGCAGCCAGGCATGGTAACTCAAGCCTTTAATCCCGGGAAGTGATGGCAGAAAGCAGAAAGGTGTAAGGGTGAAAACCAGGAACTAGAGCCTGGTTAAGCTTTTAGGCTTTTGAGCACCAGTTCAGCTGAGAGCCATTTAGATGAGGACACAGAGGCTTTCAGTCTGAGGAAACAGGATCAGCTGAGGAATTGGCAAGGCGAGGTGGCTGTGGCTTGTTCTGCTTCTCTGATCTTCCAGCGTTCACCCCAGTCCTGGCTCCAGGTTTGTTTTTATTAATAAGACCTTCTAAGATTCATGCCACAGCTGGCTGCTCTGCTTCTCTGATATTCAGCTTTCACCTTGATATCTGACTTCCGGGTTTTTATTACTAAGACCAATTAGAATTTGTGTTACAGAATGCTGCTTACTGGTTTGCTCTCTATAGCTTGTGTAGTACTTTTCTTATATTTACTTGCCTGGAAATGGCACCTCCCACAGTGGAATGGGCCTTCCCACACCAATTGGTAATTAAAAATGTGCCTCACAGATGGGATAGCAGGCCAACCTAATGGAGCAATTCTTCATTTGAGATTCCCTCTTCCCGAATGTGTGTAGGTTTGTGTCAAATTGACAAAACCTATGACATGGTCCTACCCCACTGACCATCAGAGCGCACACTGCAATTTTCAAATAAAACCAAACAAAAGAAACTCAGATCGTTCCTTTAATGGTGTGTAGAAAATTGGTGAACTGAGACTAGTAACTGTTTGCTTTTGAATCCTTCTGCCGTGTTGATGGGACTGTTTTTATTCGAAGGCAGAATTAGCACTTGGGCAATTTTAAAATGGAGGCCTAGTGAAAGTATGTTAGGGACAACGTCATGTCATAATCCGAAGGGACATGGACTTAGACCCAAGTTCTTCACTACTTTGAAGTGATGTAGTTGTCTTCATATCGTAACATCAGTGGCAATCAGAAGAACTGAGAATTTTGAGTGTAGGGCAAAAAACAAACACTGTCTATACATATAGCAAAATGACTATTGTACAACTTCTGCCTAGCTCTCGCCTGTTATCCTGACAAAAGTCCTCATCTGCGGAACTTTCATGAAAGCCTCTAAAAACTCCACCAGTGACACAGGAAAGTGGCAGTGACGCAGCCACAGGGAGCGTTGAGGCTCTTCTTGATGCCATGAAAAGAAATCTACTCCCATGGAGCCATCATGGCCTGTTCCCACGGAGCCATCTTTTCTTCTGAGGATACAGAAAGCTGTGATGTAACTGGGAGCTCCACAAGAGACATGAATTCTACAGCTAGAAACGAGCAGGTCTTTGCCAAGACTAAGGTCTAGAGCAGTGAAAATATTGCTGTTAAAGACATCTCGTACAGGAGCAGACTAGTGAGCCACGATGTGATCCCAGGATTCTTTCTGTCTGGAGATTATAACTACATGGTGGGTTCATGTTCCACATTTATTTAGGAGGAGGAGGAGGAAGAGGAGGAGAAGGAGGAGGAAGAGGAGGAGGAGGAAGCAGTAAAGGGAGAAGTAAATAGAACTAGAAGGGAATGGACAAGAAGTATGGAAATGTGGGAGCGATTTTAAAGATTATATTTATATATTGAAAGAATGGAAACACATGGTTGTTGATGGTACAATAGAAAAGAACCCACAATGAAAGGTTTCTGAAAAGGTGGGAAGAGGGAGGGCAGGAGCAGGGACACTGGAATTTTGTGCTTACAAAAAAGAGAGTGGGTGACATGCAGGGAGAGTGGACAGGCACCTGCTAGGTGGAGTGAGTGGGTGGCCGCCATGCTTGAGAGGTGGACCTAAGCACAGCAATAGATCAGGAAGACTGTGGAAGAAATATGAAGAGCGAAGATGGAGATTAAGTTTGTTGCTGGTAGTTTGCATTTCCTGTCCTCACTGGCAATCGCATGCACATGTAAGAGTCATCAACAATAAAGTACAGTTTTTACCCTAACTAACTGGCTGAGCTCTCATTTAAGTTTGAATATGATTTCTTTCAATGTTTGACCTATAACCACGCCAATAAACCATTGGTCTCTTATTTCTCACATCCTATTTTTCAAAAATATTTTTATTTTTATTTTATGTCCATGAGTCTTTTGCCTGCATGCACACCACAGGCGTGCCTGGTGTTATAAGAGGCCAGGAGAGGGCATTGGATCCTCAGAACTGGCGTGGTTGTGAGTCATCCAACATGGCTTCTGGGCACTGAACCCTGATCCTCTGCGAGAACAGCAAATTCTCTTAACTGCTGAGCTATCTCTTGCACCTATCATTTTTGTTTTACATTTATATTTTATTTTATTGGACTCAATGAGTAATTTGTCACAATAAAGTTTATAGCATATCTTTTTTTGTTTTGCTTTTTGTTGTAGACTATTATTTTAAGATGTGTTACATTTGTTTATGCTGTCTTAATGATGCAAAGATGTACTGCATTCTTTGATGTTGCATTTGTTTAACTCTGTGAAGCTGTGTTACTTTACCTGTCTAAAACACCTAATTAGTCTAATAAAGAGCTGAATGGCCACTAGTGCGGAAGGCAGGCAGAGAGAATAGATAGAAGGAGAAATCTGGGGAGAAAGGAGATCTAGGAGAGAAGGAGGAGGTGCTAGGGGCCAGCCACCCAGCCACCCAGCCAGCCAGCCACCCAGCCAGCCAGCCACCCACCCAGCCAGCCAGCCACAGAGTAAGAGTGAAAGTAAGATATACAGAAGTGAAAAAAGGAAAAAGCCCAGAGGCAAAAGGTAGCTGGGATGATTTAAGAGAAGCTGGCTAGGAATAAGCCAAACTAAGGCCTGGCATTCATACGAAAGAATAACTCTCCATGTATTTATTTGGGAGCCGGGTGGCAGGCCTCTCAAAGAGCAAAGAATAAAGAGTAAAAACAAACAACTACAGCTCTTATTTTAACAGAGGTGTCTTTAGCATTTCTTCCTGAAATGGGATTTTTTTTTTAATGATTTAATAATGATCAAAATTTTAAGCTTCTAGTTTTCCAACAACAACAACAAAGGATAATATTAAGATCTTTTCTCAATCTGTTACCTACTCTATGATTTCCTCCTTGATGAATCTATCTAATAGTTCTGTGAATTTGAAGATCAATCTCACTTGGTTGATTTTTAACATAACCTTAAATTTAGTTTCCCAGCAATTTAGTTAAGGTTTTTGGGATAGATCAAAAGGATTTTTTTTTTCTTTTTGAGTATCAGAGTGATTTAGCTTTATAAAGTTAAGTTTTGTAATTCTCCATATCTTTCTAGTCTTTGGAACAACTCAACGTTGTTTGTAAACTCTCCGCTTTGGCCTCCCAGCCCGTGTTGTTTTGTAGCCGTCCTGGTGAGTTCCTTAGATTCTGGCTTCTTGTTGAGTCAATTTTAGTAACTTACATTTAAAAAGACAAGTTTACATCTCCTCAAAATAATTAGGGTTAAGATTGAGCAGCACAACCCATCATTGTCATCTGAAGTGCTGTCGGTTGCTAAGTCTTTTCCATCCTCTTTGTCGCTGGCTCTGTTGGTACCCATACCCCAAGCCACTGTGGTCCTGGCAGTTTTCTTCCATTTCCTGTAGCTGGGACATACCTTAACCACCCCAGTCCTTTTCTCTTTTGTTATTCTCCTCTAAAGCATCGAGTGGAAGGATTTCTTTTGAATCTATTGCCTCAACATGGAGACCATTTTGCTCTGAGTTTTGCCTAACAAACCAATACTCAACAGTGGCTCTTGTTTTGCTCAACTCACTTCTCAAGAGTGTCAGGTTGGAGACATTTGTGTACGGTATTAACAAAAGTTTTCAATGTTGTTTGGCTTCTGTTGTTCATTTATTGTTTCAGTATATGCAGTAGATATACAATGTGTCTAGCTTAGTTTCTTAGAACTGTGAAAACTTTTAGTAATAGAATGAGGAAACTTACAGAGCCTCAGCAGTGTCAAAGTTTATGATGGTGCTATGTTTGAAGGACTCAGAGACACAGCTTTACTACACATATGTCATGTATTTACTATGACTTTTACCCTTTACCGGCATGAACTATCCTTTTTTCTTATTTTGAATTACTTTGCGTTAACTTTGTGGTTGAATTTTCTTTGTTTGTCCAATATGAACACTCTGCCTGTTTTCATCTCTAAGTCTTTGTAACACACTATCTCTGGCCTCTTAAACATTATTTTCTTTTAGGTATGTATTTTATAAGTGGGTGAAATTGATTACTCTCTCTTTCTGTGTCTTAAGACAGGTACAGTCACATTTCAACAGAACGTTACAGTGTAACTATTCCTATTCTGACTAATAGGATTGGTCTTTTGAGGACTTTTCTGTTATTATCCCACAAGATTGAGTCTTCTAGGACATGATTAAGAAGGCTGGTTTCTTAGTTTTTTTCTACTTTTATTGGTAGTGTCTTCCTTTCTTACTCCGTAGTTTTTCTCCTGCTGGGACCTGAACAGGAGACAGCCGCTTGCTCTGGGGCCTGCCTGTATGGCTTTGAGATGTGTAGCTGCTGGTCTCCTTGCCAAGTCCTGTTCTGGCTTCTGCTTTGCTTGCCCTGGGGAAACTGCCTACCAGCTGTGGTGCAGGGGCATGGGCACCTCCAGTATTGACTTGGGAGAAGCCTGGTCCCTCACTGTGGGCCCCCGATGCTGCCTGTTTCTGGCCGATCCTATTTCTGACCCAGCTGCAACTCTTACTTTCTGCTGTTTTCTAGGATTTGAGACACTGATATTTTGGCTTAGGGAGCAGCAGTATTGTGACCTCTTCAATAGGAGTGGACTGCTTAGCTTGTTAGTTGCTAAAAATTCTTATTCTGAGCCAGAGACAATTAGCTGGGAGGAGACAATGGATCTTTTGCATTCTTCCCAGCATCGGTTTTTCTGTTTCTGGCAATGTGACATCCTCTAAACAGTAATTATTTTGTTCAATTCTCATTCACAAGACTTGTCCTTAATTGGTGTATTATTTTGTTGCATGTGATAGATTATATGTCTACTTGAGTTTTTAAAATTGATATGAAGTTTTTGTCTTCTTTTGCTTTATAGATATTTTTGTCACAAGCGAAGATTTGCCAGCGGCCTCAGCAACATTTAAGAGAAAAAAGTGATGGTATGATAATGGTGGTCAACTTATTTAACATGTTTTATATTTTAGGCGAAGTATCTTACCGGTAAACCCAAATGCTGCTTGATTTTTCCCCCTTCATTTAAGGGACCAGTGAACATGTTTTTGCCTCATCCCCATCTAAGGAGTTGATTTGTCTTCTGATATTCACACTGAATTGACGGTATCCAGTTTCTGTTCTTGTTCTGTGCTGGAGAGCCAGGAGTGTGCTCAGAGCAAATGAACAGCGTGGAGCCGAAAGACATGAAATCACACTTTTTGTTAGGTGGCACTAAACTCTGACCTCTATAAAACTCTGGACGTGGCAATGCTTGAATTCTCTTTATGTATCTCCTTTGGTGCTGAGTGTCCCAGTGGGTATCATGGCAGAACTGAAAGCGGACACTGCAAACTTTCTGCCTCAGAGAGCCCTCCCTTCCCTGGACCTCACAGGCCATCTGTGGGAAGAACATGAGATGGAATGAGCCAGGCAGTCCTGCCAGGTCCAGCCTTAGCTCTGTTGGCATCTCAAGGTGGGAGCCAGTGCTTGAACTGGCTGAATCCATCCAGTTTCCTATACCTCTAATAAGACATGATCACATGAACATACCAGAGAGTCTGTTGTGCTATGTGAATTTGAACACACAAAAATCATGTCACATTCCTAGAGTATACCAGGTTCTCAATAAAGTGTAAAGTGTTATTGTTTGAGTGCAATCAGTTCCCTCTGATGTCTGCCTAGGCCAAGGGAAGGTGATCCAGAATGTTCCTTGCTACTTTCTATTCCAATCTGCTCTTCCTAGACACTGGATCCTCAGCCTGACCTTCTCCCCTCTTCAAAATACTATTACTTCTTTTCATCCCCTTAAGATCAGTTTCTGCTAAGTTAACATGACCGTCTATTAAGAACAAATATGTTATTGTCTGAGTTAGCATTTTCACTTCCCAGGAACTGCTGTGAATACATGTTGGACACAGAAATGCAAGGCACATTTGGGATTCAGGGGAATAGGGCCCATGTTTTGGTCAGAAAAAAACATCCGAAAGTGTAAGATTTTTCAAGACTTTATGAGATCAAAATTAGGAACTTGATGATGGACACCATAACCTTTTCTACAATATATTTACAACAAGTTTGAGATATCCAAGAGTCTTAATCATACAAAGAACAGCCTTCCAGATCCCGGGGGAGGTGAGATGAGATGAGTTAAGTGTTTGGAAAACCAAATGAGTGATAGCTGTAGATACACAAATTAAAATACCTTTAATGACTGATGTTCCAAACCCGATGAAGGTGATTAAAGTTTTAGTAATTCAAACCTACTAATACAGGATTTGATGTGGGCCATCTAATTTTATAGATGAAATGAAATACACCCTAGATCAGGCCCACTGAGCTTAGTCCATTTCATAGGAGGAACAGGGAGAGGCTGGCCCCCTACACTTGGTCAAGTTATGCCTGATGAGGCAGAGAGGTGTTGTGTGGAGCTCTCTGCAGATCCCTGTGGTGAAAACTCATACTAGATACTAGCCTCCGATCCCAGATAACACAAACAACATGCACACCTCCTCTGGGGATGCTCCAAAAGTACACATGCACAGTTGCTGTTTAGATTCCCTTTAAAATATAAGTATTTCACCAGTAATTTATAATAATATGGCATGTTACAAGAGTCTACTGGGAAATTGCACTATGAATATATGGTTGAATTTCAATCTTCATGTGGAAGAGCCCCACAGCATTGTTCTTGAGAGAGAAAATGGAGGCTTAGTCCCTAGTCTAAAGTCTTAGTTTGATTTGCATATGACAGCAGAGCCATGTTTAGAGTCTCTTTGAAACTACCTAGTGCTTGTCTATATCCACACCATCCTGCATGTGTCTGAGTGTAAAGTTAACTGTACCTTCCAGGCTTTGAGCTTTATAGACCTTTGTGGGATCTAGTAATTCAGAGTGCAAATGCTTTGATGTATTCTAGGGATAGAGAAAAAAGCTTGCTAATAGACCCTTCTGGGAACACTCTCCAAAGTCCCCACATGTTGTTTGATACCAACAAAACCCACACTGATGTTGAGAAGTGAATTTTAACTTGTCTACAAACTTTTTAAATATACACTGTCCCCCCAGAACCCCCCAAAACCCCTGCATCTGGTAATATTTTTGCGGGTGTAAGAAAAGATGTATTCTTAAACTACTAATGAAGACATTTCCGGATCCTATCAGCACGCAGTAGGTCAGATGGTGGTACATATTTGGGGGAAAAAAGAGAAGCAGAAAATGGAGCAAGGACTGCTGAGGTTTGAAGGGAAAGCCGTTTGAAATGAGGATGCAGCTCCCTGGTCATAAGGGAATTTTCAACCAAGGGCATTTGAATGTCAAACCTGATTAGTGGCCACAGGTGAATAAATAAGTAAGTTATTTGTAATCACATCAGATACTCAGGTTTTGGCCAACAGTCTGAAAAAACAAGCAGTGTTTCTCATATACCTGGTAAAGTACTCAGATGCAGACCTAATGCAGAGGCAGCCCTCAGACCAGCAGACACTCTGTGATGGATGTGGCCAGTCTACCTGTACTTACAAAAAGTGCCTGCTCATTCAGGTCTTTGTACCTTCTGGGAATTATATTTTATCATATGTCTCTTGATAAGAGTCACACACACACACACACACACACACACACACACACACACACACACGGGTAGTGCACAAGAGAAAATTTAAAAAAGCCTCATTAATTATACCTGCTCTTCCTGGTCTAGTGTTCTTCTTTTCCTGATGTCCTTCCTGCTATACCTAGCTTAGCATCCAAGAACATGGAGTATAGATACCCATGTACTCAGAAGTCTGAGTGTGAAAGGCAGTATGCCTTCTGATGAGGCAGATTCTGAGCCAGTTGATATCAAACAAAAAGATGTTTAGAAGCCATGCATGTCCCTGCTCTCCCAACAGAGACTTCTGTGTAGCCCAAAACTGTCATTTACTAAGGAGAATCCATAGATTGCAGAGTAATAGGCACACGAATGCTTGAAGGAAAACACACCATGCATTTCAAGGCCAAATATAAATGTAAAAATTAGACACTTAGAGGACAGCCAGAGAACAACAGGCTTGAAGAATTCTGATAAATAGTTCAGAGTTGTCTGCCCCATCTATAACTGTCACAGAACTGATGTTAAACTTGTGTGTGAGGCTCCGTGGACTACCCTTTAACACAGATAAGGCACATTGGAGTAAATGGGCAGCTAGTGACCGCTGTAAGAAGGAAGGTAATTGGAGGGTTGGTAACAATCCAATGCTTGCAAAACTATACAGTACTCAATAATATTTTGACTCTCCCAGAGGCATATGTATTTAAAAGGAAGGTTTAAAAGATGTGCAGAGTATGAAGCAATACATGTGAAATGGTATAATTTAAGGCTAATACAGGATAGCCCAACACCATGGTATTTGCCATGTGGTCATCTAAAGTAGGTATGTAAACCCAGAGCCAATGTTGTAATCTTGGCATCAAATGCTAAAATGGTTGGCCTTGTTCTTCAGTCCCCAGAAGGAATCTCTCTCAGGTCAGGATAATTCATCCTCTCTGGGGAAGTCCAGAAGGAAACTAACTCCTCTCCGGACCCCGTCACTCTCATGTCCACCTAGAAGCCAGCAATGGAGCACAGGGATGGAGATATTAACCCCGATGTCGAATCCTGAATCCCAGCCCCAGGAACTGGGCATTCCAGTGACTTCTACTACACATTAACTATGAAAGGCAAATGGCTTCAGCCCCAGCCCACACTAATTACCTGTGGCCCTTTGCATCTGTGCACGATGTCAGGAATTTTGAGTACCTCAAACTATATTCTGCTGAAATAAAAAGAAGAATTCAGCAAGTAAGATAATAGCATTTGTCAGTTTCATTTACAGCTCGTTTAGGTTGGCTGAATTAATGAGTACCTATAAAGCCGCCTTGCAAGACGCTTTTGCACAGCCTTAGAGTATACCATACAATTAAATATCTTTAGCAGAATCATAAATAGCAAAAGCATAAAAATTACTCAGTTGAAATTTTTTAAGAGTTCTATTTTTTTTTTTTTCTGCAGTTGAGAGCATTCTTAGTATGGGCTAAAAAAATAGGTGTCTGTGCGACCTTTATGGCCATGATGGTCCGAGCACTTGGAGCTCCTCTCTGAGACTCATGCTCTCCTGATGCCCACAACCTCTCATGGCATTTGTCTGTGGCTCTCCTGTCTGCCCTGGTGATAGTTTGGGGCCACGTCTAGTCCTTGGATCACAGGCTTTAGTCAGCAGGCACTGTGTTTTATAGCTTCATATTCCCCACAGGGCTTAGTTTAGTGTTTGACACACTTAAGGTAGTCAGTAAACGCTTTTGAATTAATCAACTTGAAGGAAAAAGAAAGAGAACACTGCTCCTAAAAGCTAATAGTAGCTAAATTATCATCATTATTTATATTCTTTTAAAAGGCACTTTCTATGTGAGCCCAGTACCATGCTATACTTTATATCATTTAATCGTGTTCCCGTAGTAAGAGGACAAGACTAGGTCCACATAAGTAATGATTGGCTTGGTTTCACATAGCTCAGTTACAGGCTTGGGTGCAGAGCCTGCCGTTCTAACTTTTATGCTGTATGGCCCTGCAGTTTATATGGTTATAACGTGACTGGGACATTGTTACCGCCATGCTAACCACTATGCCAAAATTAGCTGCAATTTCAGCTCAGTGCTCCAGAGACAAAGGATGGGCTGAAGTAGGCCGGAGGATGTAGAATTGGCTTTCCATTCTCTATTGGAGTGACCCAAAGTATTTCGGCATCACTGTTAATTGAAGATAGACTTAGATGAAGTGAAATACTGGTCTGCCTTCTTTTTTCTAGATACACGGTTGCTTAATGAAGGAACAGAATTTTGTGACATGTGATTACTAATCAAGAAAGTATCCTAGCTGGGTGGTGGTGGTGGTACATGCCTTTAATCCCAGCATTTGAGAAGCAGAGGCAGGCAGATCTCCATGAGTTCGAGGCCAGCCTGGTCTACAGAGTGAGTGTCAGGACAGTCAGAGCTGTTACACAGGGAAATCCTGTCTTGAAAAACCAAAAAAGAAAAAAAAAGAAGAAAGAAAAAAGAACCCTATAGATACTTTCTTGGGATAAAGAAACAGGCAACTGGAACAGCTGGCATGTTGTTACATAGAAAATATCTGAGCCAATACTGCATTCCAACTTTACAGTCATGCATAGTTGTATGTCTGTGAAGGTTCAGAAGTATGTCCACAGGCTTGGATTGTAAGAAAGAATAAAGTGTGCGCCTGCCTTCAAGGTGAAGATAGTTGAGCTGGGAAAGCAGCTGGGCAAACAGTAAGGAATCTGTCGATTAAGTGTGACATCAGCTTCTAAAAGCATGGTAGAGGGAGGCATAAGAAAAATTCTGAGTAATGGCCAAGGAAAATCATTCACGTTGTTTTTGGGTATATGCTATGCCAGTATTGGGCTAGGACTCAATTCTCAACCTTCCTAAGGCCATGACCCTTTAATATAGTTCCTTATG